TGTATTGATTCATAAATGATTCACTTCATTCATCATAGGCATTCACACACCTTTATGCTTGCAAAAATCCTAAGCATGCTTACCTAGTTCATGTCATCATAAGGGTTTCTTCATTAATATGCATATTTGTTTTTATAACTCGATGAATATTGAGGTTTTCATAAGAGGTTTTAGGCTCATTTAGAAGTGGTTGCAAAGAGAATTACATCATAGATATGTTAGGTATACATCTTAGGTGGTTAGGCATCATTTGGAGGTTAAGAACACAAAATTGCATAGTGAGGGTCAGCAGGAAACACGGCCTGGACGTGTCATATGACATGGCCACATCACTTTGTACATTTAGAACACCAAACTCAGCAGGAAACATGGCCAGCCGTGTTGGGCAACATGGTTATGTTTCCTAGGTTTTCCAGATACGAGATATTTCCCTCTTTAAGCATTCAAACATACCCATCAAACCTTTTCAAAGAATCATCCATAGATACTTAAAATGACTTATATACATATTTAATAGGAGTAGAAACACTCAAGAAACATTAAATAATTGAATCAAAATATCAATCATAAGTCCTTTAATCAACATTGATAAAATCAACTTGAAATTGGGTTTTGAAACTCAAATGCATTTTTCATCCATTTAACATGCTGGAATTTTAAATTTATATCAAGCATATACATTTAATTCGTGGAACGTATTGTAGAGATAGGGGTGGCCAAATTACGGTTCGGGGAACTGAAACCGTCAGTTCGAACCGGTCCCGAACCGTAATCGGAACCGGGCCGAACCGGAACCGGAATCGGAGATTTTTGGTTCGGTTCCGGTTCTAAATTTTCTGAAACCAGAACTGGCGGTTCCAGAATTTTCTGAAACCAAGAACCTGGCGGTTCCCAGAAAACCGGTCGAAACCAATTTGAACCAAGATTCTCCCGGTCGGTTTCGGACCGCCGTTCGAACCGGCGAATTCTAGCCGTTATAAAACTGTCAAGACCCAACCAGTTTTTTTTTTTTTTTTTTTCTTAGTGAAGGAAATTTCTTGGAGTTTGGATGCTCTGTAAAACTTTTTGGAAAGGATCATTTGTCTTGTAGTGCAGACAACCAACAGAGGGATGGGTTGCTTTTATTAAAAAACGATTTTCTTAATTTGATTAATTGATAATGATAGCAAATATATGTTTTCTAATAAATAATAGAAAAATATTCTTTTTTATAAATTAAAAATATTTAAAAAAGATGAGAATAATTTCTTCGATCTTATAAATTTGTTCTCGTTGAGGATTAAAATTCGAGATTTTCAAGTTTTCACATTTCTTTTTGTTGAAAAACAAATTAAAGAAGTCAAATGTATATAATCCGCTGGGAGGAAGCAGAATTAAAGAGGAGTTTGCATCCCTTTAAATTCTAAAATCTTTTAAAATGTACTTTATAAATAATTTTTTTATTTGATCTTTTAAAATTGTTTTAAAAAAATATTTAACCCTCCAAATTTTAGAGTTGGTTCTACCCTGCCTATGACAAAAGAAAAACTAAAACACATCGGGTGAGCTCATATATTATAAGATGTATTTTCCAATAAAAAACTGGAATTGTAAGCTGTATGCTCCAAGTTCTTGTTATAATGTTATAGTGATGAGATTAAGGTTTTAATTAATATTTAAACATGGGACAGGATTTTCAGACCCCCTTTTTTTTTTTTTTAATTATGTTCAAACTTTTTTAAACAAAAAATAAATTCAGTTGAAAAATTTTTTTTAAAAAAATAATTATAAACAAAAAAATAAATTCAGTTGAAAAAATTTTTTTTTAAAAAAATAATTATTGTTCAAAGTCTTTAAAAAAATAAATTTTAAATTGGAAGTTATTTTTAATTTTGTAGTGTATTTTTTTAATTTTTAATGTTCAAATATATTTTTTAAAAACCGTCTTTTTAAAATTTAAAATTTAAAATTAATGCGATTGCGCCGGAAAACTGATCGGAACCGTCGTATTTTGTCACCAGAAACCTGAAGGTTCCAAAACCGGTTCCAAACCGGAACCAGAACCGGACCTTTTCGGTTCGATTCCGGTTCCAATTTTTCTAGAACCGGAACCGCCGGTTTCGGAACCGTGGCCACCCCTATGTAGAGACATCCTAAAACAAGAATACCATCAAGCAAATAGTAAGAATTAATAATTATGGAGGTTAGAATTTCAACCTCAAAACTTCACCTCTTCAATAATTAAAACCCCAAATTACTTCATCACCTCTTTTCCCTTCTCTATTCTTGATCCCTCTCCTTATTCTTCCATGGAAACAAATGAAGAAAATCCATAAGAAGAATAAGAACTCACTCAAGGTGAAGAGAATGCATGAACTCTCTCTCACTAAAAGAAATCTCTACCATACTTACCTCTTAAGTCATTTAGTAATCCCATTTCCAAGCTTCAATCTTTTATTAATATGACAAAAGTAACTTCTTTAATCTTTGAGATGTCACGCCCGACTCTAATCACCAGAGGAATTGTCCGCTTTGGCCACGGGGTTATGCCCCGGCCTAATCCGGCCAACACAAACACCCGCCCTCACGGTTTTACGGTTTTTGGTCCCCGCAGGTGAAATGGGAAACTTCCCAAGGAGGTCACCCATCCTAGATTTCCGTTTAAGAGCGACAACGCTTAACCTAAGAGTCTTCCAACTCCTCCAGCCATTCCACCAAAAGGCGCTCTCTATGATTAGTTTTTCCTCTTTTCGATATATGATTCATTCATTCCTGTGTCCCGTATTCCACTAACCCTAGCTAGCCTGCCATCCTAGGATTCGCTTTGCCGGGTCGGGATGCACAGGCCACCAGCTTCCGCATGTTCGTCCTCGGAACCATACATCTACTGGAGGGGGTCCGGCTCTGATACCAAAAAAATGTACACCCGACCGGGCAATCCCGGAGAACCAGACGGCGGATGCCCACAATCGGTGCCAGAGCATCGTCTTATTCACTTATTAAAGCTAGATCACAAATTAGAAGTGGTTAGATTTTCAACAAATAAGGAGGCAAAGTAATTAACAATTTTGTTTTTTACCAGAATAATATTTAAGGAATTCCTACGAAATTTCGCAAGAGTTTCCCGTAAATATTAACTTGCCAACACAAAGAAAATATACACAACTTCAATTTTCTCCAAACCCAAAACTCCAATTCAACCAACAACATGCCATAAGCACTTCATAAATATCCAACATATCATACTTAGGTTCCATCACAATATTTCTAAACACATTCTTTTCAAGGAATATATAATCATAGTACATCCAAAAATTATAAATAGATGTTATTTTCCTTAAATAATATAAACTCTTAATGCATTATACCAACTTCTTATAATACAAACTCCACAACACAATATTTAATATATAATGCCAAAAATGCACCATTTACAAAATATCCCTACCCAATGTGATATCTACTCTGATGCTAACTCTCTGGTCTTGGCAGAAATAGCCTCCGCTCCTAAACCTGCGCGTGATAAAAATCACGCGCTCAGTGGAAGACTCAGTGGTGGCCTAATAACCAACAATTAAAATACCAAAGAAATAGCCAAGGCAAGTCTCGCAAGCGCTTAAAATTACTCCAAGTATATAAATACCGAATTGCATTAATTTAAAACACTTTGAAAGCAATAAGACGATTATAAATACAAATCTGTCTTCCTTCTTTTATAGCAAAAATAAATTTCATTCTTTAGTTAAGGCTCGTACTCATGCAGAATGAACATAAGCAACTCTAGGGTTAAGCGTGCTCGCTTAACGGAAATCCTAGGATGGGTGACCTCCTGAGATGTTTCCCATTTCACTTGCGGGATAAAACCGTGAGGGCGGGTGTTTGTGTTGGCCGGATTAGGCCAGGGCACAACCCCGTGGCCAAAGCGGACAATTCCTCTAGTGATTAGAGTCGGGCATGACAGTTGGTATCAGAGCATAGGTTTAGACGATTCTAGGATATATGATTTTCTAGGAATATATGATTTTGGTAATGAGAGTTTATCTGATTTGGAGTAATGATATAAGGTTAAATAAACATGCCATTATTAGTCTGTTTTGGGAATCTCTCTCTGATGCGAATCTACTGGTCTTTGTAGGTATTTAGTGATGTCTCAGCACCTGCCGGATGAGGAGGTGGACAGTTATTCCCCTCCAGAGGGTGCTATGTTAGAGGGTGGTACGCCAGCCGGTGGCGTCGCTAGTGGCATTCTGGGTTCCGATGCAGAGCGTGCCTCGACTGTACGGCAGGCTACTACGGGGCCTAATCAGGGTGATTGCCTAATCAGGGTGATTTGGTACAGCAGTTAGTAGCTGCATTGAGGCAGGCTGCGGGAGTTGTTCCCCAGGCTCCAGTCTCACCAGCCCCTGTTCCAGTCCATTCCCTGGTAGAAAGACTGAGGAAGTATCATGTTGAGGATTTCATGGGTCGGAGAGATGATGATCCTTTTACAGCAGAATTCTGGCGTCGAGCTATAGAGAGGGTCTTGGACCAGCTGCAGTGTACTCCTCCAGATAGATTGATCTGTGTTGTTTCCTTGCTGAAGGAAGAGGCTTACCTATGGTGGGAGTCTATGGTTAAGACAGCGACAGCCGAGGATATTACTTGGGATTTCTTTCTCTCTTCTCTCTGAGTTTTCGGGAAGAAGTATGTGGGGGAGACTATAACACGGATCAAAGGATAGCAGAGTTTCTTGAGCCTTTATTGAGCTTAGGCAGGGACGGATGACTGTCTTCGAGTATGAGCGGGAGTTTCTGCGGTTGAGTAGGTATGCTTCAAAGTTGGTCCCTATTGAGGCAGATAGGTGTAAGTGGTTCCGGAAGGGGTTACTGGATGAGTATAGGATGCATTTGACATCCCAGCCCCACACCACATTAGCTAGTTTGGTAAAGGCTGCTTCAGAGCTTGAGATTATTCGGAATGAGAGACAGGCTAGAGGTTAGAGGACCCAGCAGAGCAGTCAGTATAAGAGATTGCAGAGTGCTATGTCTGGAAAGACTTCAGAGGTCCAATCTAGTAGCAAGAGATTTAGAGGCGGACCGCAGATGGGGGTCAGATCGGGCCAGACAGTTGGTCGGGGTATATTTACGAGATCAGCTCCTCCGGCTACATCTGTTGCTAGTGGTGGAGGTGCTGCATCAGGTCTACCAATTTGCATTCAATGTGGTAGGAGACATGTTGGGGTGTGTTGGGGCACTACGAGAGCTTGCTTTAGATGTGGATCCATTGAGCATATGATCAGGGATTGTCCTATGACCGTGACTCGTCCAGCTCACCAGGTTGGGAGTTGGGAGGCCAGGCTCCCTTATGTTCAGCAGAGGCAGAGGGTAGGAGGCCGTACGTGAGGGGAATTGGTACTAGGAGTGAGAGACCAGGTTCTGAGACTGTGAGAGACCAGAGGCTAGAGCACAGGCGAGGGCTTTATGCCATCAGGGACCAAGAAGCAACGGATGCGGCCGGACGTTTCATTGCAAGTACCTCTCTATCTTTGGACACTTTTGTACTTGCTTTTGATTGATCCGGGCTCCACACCATTTCATACATTATGCATTACATGTGGTAGACGTGGGTAGACTGGGTAGTATGCATGCTGATACATTAGAGAACAGAGTTGAGGTTACTAGCCCTTTGGGTCAGAGTGTAGTAGTTGATCGGGTGTATAGAGATTGCCCTGTAGTCATTCATGAGTATGTATTTTCGGGTGATTGATAGAGTTGCCTTTTCGGGAGTACGATGTGATATTGGGTATGGATTGGCTGTCTAGACATGGAGTCATTGTTGATTGTAGACGTAAGAGGATTACGCTTCAGACTCTGTCTGAAGAGGAGATTGTAGTTGTGGGGGAGAGGATGGATTACCTCTCTGGATGGATTACCTCTCTAATGTTATTTCAGTTAGTACCGCTAGGAGAATGATACAGCATGGCTGTGAGGCGTTCTTGGCCTGTGTACTTGAGCCTGAGTGGAGATCTCCTAGTGTCCATAAGATTTCGACGGTGTGTGACTTTCCAGATGTATTTCCTGAGGATTTGTCTGGTTTGCCTCCTGCGAGAGAGGTTGAGTTTAGTATCGAGGTTGTGCCGGGCACTGCATCGATATCCATTACTCTATACCGGATGGCTCCTACTGAGTTAAGAGAGTTGAAGATTCAGAATCAGGAGTTGCTCGGTAAGGGTTTCATTAGACCTAGTGTATCTCCTTGGGGCGCTCCAGTATTATTTGTAAAGAAGAAGGATGGTACTTTGAGATTGTGCATTGATTATAGGCAGCTTAATAAGGTGTAATAAGGTGAAACTGAAGAATCGTTTATCCATTACCTCGATATAGACGATTTGTTTGATCAGTTTGAGAGGGGCCACCTGTGTTTTTTCAAAGATTGATTTGAGATCAGGGATATCATCAGTTTGAGAGTTAGAGGATTTCAGGAAGGGTCCCTAAAGACTGGCTTCAGGACTCGATGTCACAACCTTACCTTACTGTAGACATGGCATGTTCGCCCGTAATATTACTTTAATAAGCACTTAAGTCTTTATTAAAAATCTTACTAAGTATACTATAAGCGGACTTAATTACTGTTATTCTTTCAATATTATATCTTGTGAAAAGTAGATTTAATTTTTAAATGTTAAAACTCCTTTTGGTCTTCATCTGTTATAAAGAAATGTCTCTCGTAAATTAAACTAAAACCAAACCCATTAAGCTCAATAACCTAATAAACCCTAAACCCAAAAACATAAACGGTTCCTAATAATCCCAATCCCTATATGGTTAATACCAACTGAACCCAACCAAAATAATAAAACACAATCATATTACATGTATCTGCTCAAATACAAATAATTAATACATCATACTATCCAATATAATAGTCAAATCAAATTACATCAGTACTACCTATACATCAACAAAAACGATCTTCTCCTAGTTCTTTTCCTGCCTTTTCCTGCGAATTTGCAACAAAACAACTATCGCTAAGCATGCTAGTGTGTTACTATTATTAAAATTAAACACAAATTTATGAAATCAAATTTTTATTATGAAATAATGAATCATAAGTTTCATAAACCCACCAATTTAAAGGAAATAAAAAAACAAAACAATACCATTTTAATCATAAAACATAAAAGCACAGCTTTATAGGAATCAATTCGAGGGCCATCAGTGCAATGCACATCTAGACCTGCTATCTACAACCCAATCAGTGATATTTGATTTTCACAAATAGAGCAACACAACCCCAACATGGAGGGAGAATTCATATCAATCTATAATTCAATCAGTGATTGATATCCATGTTCAAATCGATCGTAATAATCAACTTCAACAAATGAAGTGATATCGGAGGCAATAACCATGTCTATATTCAGCTGTTAAGACTTTTCAAAAACCATTCCATTCATGTAATAATATTAAAATCACTGTGGGCAACATTTCATTTCGCAAACACTACTAAAATCATTCAGTTCATTGGGCCACCCCTCATACTACAGGTTAACAATTGGCCACATTTCCTCCTCTTTCAAGGTATAAGGAATCATAAAAAATTCATTTACATATAGTCATTGGTCGTATGCTTTTCAAAATAAGCTTTGTTCTTTTTAAAAAATATTGAAATCATTAATACTTTTTATATTTATGATTCATAAAGTTAAATCCATTGAAAATATTTTTTGCAAAATCAATTATTATTTTGTTTTAAATAAAAGTAGGGAAAGGATAGTACACTAACCTGAGCTAGAAGGCTCCCCTAGCCTTTCCTCTAGCAACCACCCCTCTCCTCAACTCCCTTACTCTTAGGAGCTTGTAGCATGAGCAGCTGTAGCATGAGATTAATACTCATATTAACTTCATACTACACAATATACACACATGCACTTCTATAGGAATGCAAATTAAGCATTAGAATGCAGTATCATGCTTTTTCTTTCCTTTTCACTATGCTTGTCTAGGTGTCATATGACCTTAGTTTAAGCATGAAACACTTCATATCCAACACTTAAGCACATCCTAGAAACATACTACTAACAATTAAAACAATAGAAGTCAATAGCATGCTAAATTCATTCAATGTTTATGAAATGCAGAATTTCAGCATATGAGCAGCTTGCATTCCGTTGGCTATATCTTAATTTTCTCATATTCATTTGCCCATTTGACCTTGAAATTTTTACAGCATGTTCCCCAACGTCTTAGAGAACTTCCCTGTAAAATTTAATAATTTTTTAAAGCTCATTTGCATTTTCTCAAATGACATAATTAGAGAATCTGAATTTCTGAATTTCAGTTTTTCTCATGCTGAGCAGCCTACATGGATTTAATTATAACTCCATTTAGTTTATCAGCATGACATAGTCTCGGGATCCATCTCGGGTTTGCACACCATGCCTTAAACTTTGGGTTAATTAATCTAGTATTTAGGTTAATTAAAAATTGGAGTCACTTAGGGTTTTTCCTAGTTTTCCCTAAAATAATTAAACTAGGTGGCGACTCACACACATCACGTGCATTTCTTCCTTAGTCACATGCATTCATATGCATTTTGATACTTGGGGAGGGGTTCACAGTCTATTACTTACATAACATCATAATATAAGATATATCAGAATCCCTAGGTCATGGCATATCAAATACAACCTCAAAATCATCCATCTTGGTGAATTATGCAAGTTAGACTTTGAATTCATGCATAACTAGTTTCACTCATCTTAAATCACCTTAAACTCAAGTCTAATCACTTCATCTTCACCAAATCAGAAAGCAAGCCACCTCACATTCAAAGTTCATTGGAATTCAAAAATAATCCATAGAAAAAGAAGGAGAAGTGAAGGAATAAACTAACCCATTTTCTTAAGAATTAACTTTTGAAAATTCCTTGATTTGATTTTCACCTCCTTTTTGCTTGATTTGTACTCAAAACTCTCCTCCTCTCTTCTTGAACGAATTGGGCTGTAAAAGTGGGTGGAAAATGGCGTGGTTATCTCCATCTCTTCATGATAATATGTACTAAACATTATTAAAAATTCCTTCCTTGTCCTTTAAATGAAAATTCCTTTAAATGAAAATTGCACTATAATCCTCCCTTTTGTTTTCCCTTCATCCTTTGGCACTCTAATCTTTTTAATCACTTCACTTTAGTCTTAGTAGGCATCAACCAAGTGTATTTAATATTCTAAACCCCACTTAAGAAAGGTCATACTGAACTTACCGTTTTTTTTTCGGGCTTTTCGGGTAGAATCGTGCTTTACCAAGAAGTCATTCCTCTTTAACTTATTTTTGATTTCCTTTAATCTTTCAAATTGATTTGTAATCACATTAATTACTATTTAATTAATATTCACATTCTCAATATATAGTGTTTCCCATTATTCTAAGTTTTCCTTTCATTCGGATAACCGAATTCATCGAAAAAGCTAGAATAGCAGGAACTACAAAGTTGAAAGTTTGGGATCATTACAAACTCTTCCCTCCTTAAAGAAATTTCGTTTTCTCAAAAATTTGACCTGTTTTACCTATTATAAATCTCTGAATAATTGTGGATGTTGCCTTCTCATATCTTCTTCACGTTCCCAAGTAGCCTCTTCTCTGGAGTGGCTTCTCCATAACACCTTAACTAAGGGAATCTGTTTATTTCGAAGTTGCTTAACTTCCTTAACTATGATAGCCACTGGTTCTTCATCATATGTGAAGTCTCGATTAAATTCAATTGATTCTAAAGGCAATATATGTGAAGGGTCCGATCTATATCTCCGAAGCATAGAAACATGGAAAACATTATGAATCTTATCGAGTTCTAGTGGTAAGGCTAACCTATATGCCAAGGGACCAATCCTCTCAAGTATTTCATAAGGTCCTATAAAGCGAGGACTCAATTTTCCCTTTCTACCAAATCTCATAACACGCTTCCAAGGGGAAACCTTAAGGAATACTTTATCACCCACATTATACTCTATGTCTCTTCTCTTTAGATCCACATATGACTTTTGTCTATCTGCAGTTGCTTTCAATCTTTCTTTAATTACTTTGATCTTTTCTTCTGCTTGTTGAATAATTGGTTGAATAATTCAGGAACCTAGCAGATGCCTTTCACCAAAACTTCATCCCAACATTAGGGTTGTCCTACATTTTCTACCATATAAAGCTTCATATGGAGGCATTCCGATACTGGTCTGGTAAACTGTTATTTATAAGCAAATTCCATCAAAGCAAATATTTTATCCCAAGCTACCTTCAAACTCAAGAACAAAAGCTCGAAGGCATATCCTCCAATATTTGAATATCCTCTCGGATTGACCACCAATCATATCTGAGGATGGAATGCTAGTACTAAAATTCAATCTAGTGGCCCAGCTTTCTATAAGCTTAACCCAAAATCTAGATGTGAATCTTGGATCTAGATGTGAATCTTGGATCTCTATCGGAAACAATGGATACTGGCACTCCATGTAGCTTAATTATTTCACCAATATATATTTCTGCCAATTTCTCTAAACTATAGTATGATCTTACAGGTAGGAAATGAGCACTCTTCGTCAATCTATCCACAATAACCCAAACGGCATCATGTTTCTTCTGGGTAAGTGGAAGTCCCATTAGAAAATTCATAGTCACTCTTTCCCATTTCCATTCTAGAATCTGAAGTGGATGATGTAACCCTGCTGGTACTTGATGTTCTGCCTTGACTTGTTGACAAGTTAGACATTTAGATACAAATTCAGCAATATCTTTCTTCATACCAGTCCACCAATAGTTCCTTTCAAATCCCTATACATCTTGGTCCCGCCTGGGGCGATGGCCATTTAGCAAATGGAGAATCATGTGCTTTTCCTTCAAGATGACGATGTCTTCAAAACCAAAAATCTGAAGGACATATAACCGGATCCCGAAAATCGTACATAACCCATCTCTACTGACAGAAAATTCATGGTCGTTTACCATCTTGTGTCTCTGAAAGAAATCTTTTGATATTCATCATCATGTTCAATATTGCCCAGCTCTAATCCTGGATCAACCAGTAGAGGCTTAACCCTTTGAAATAACTAACACCCAATTGTCAGAATCGCTCTTAAACTTCGCATTAATAGACCGTAGATTCATGGAACTTAGAGATAACTCTGTTAGTTTTCTCAGGCTTAGACAATAGTCTTTACGGGCTCAGTGCATCTGCTACCACATTAGCTTTCCCTGGCTTGATAATCGATAATTACAGTCATAATCTTTTATTCAACTCGAGCCATCTTTTCTGTTCTTCAAATTCAACTCCCTTTGAGTACCCAAGATACTTCAA